GAGGGCAAGCTTTAGAGAGGAGGAAAATAAATGACTTATTAGAGGGAGGAGGTGCATCGACTGGTTGTTTAGAGGCCAAAGGGGAAGAGATCAAATATTGGGAGTGGGGTGGAGTGCAAAAGAGAGCGAGAGTGTCAGAACCAGGGTGTGTAAACAAGAGCAAGGTCAAGGGCTTTTGATCTACAAAGAGATTTTATTTATTATTATTAATAATTTTTTTAAGAGGGTGTAGATAGGATGAGATAACCTTACTCGAAGATGGCACACGTGCAGAATTTAGGATTTCCAAATTGAAGGGGTATGAGGATGCAACCAAGGATGGGAAACGGAGTGATACCCGTTCAGCTATATGGGAGATGGCAAGCTTTAGAGAGGAGGAAAATAAATGGCTTATTAGAGGGAGGAGGTGCATCGACTGGTTGTTTAGAGGCCAAAGGGGGAGAGATCAAATATTGGGAGTGGGGTGGATTTAGTTGTATTTTCTCTTATGTATTTAGTAGTATTTTCTCCTTTTTTTGGAACCATTTGATATTGTAGTTTTTGTGTGGGTTTGGTGCCATTTTTTGGGACCTCCTGCAATCTCTATTTGTACCCTACTTTTTATTTAATATATATATATATATATATGTATATATAAATATATCTCTGAATTTTCGAGCTTGACTTATCTGAAGTTACATTGCTTGGTATGACATATGTGTAAGTCAACATGCCTCATCTTGAAGGGTAGTGTTGGCATAGAATTATATTTCATAACATGGCTTTTCATATTAAGCAAATGATTTATATTATTTGGGTGTACCCAAGAACAATTTAGTTACCAAACCAAATTGGGAGGATTTCCAGTGAATAAGAAACCAATTTTCCCGTCAAACAATTCTCAAATAACTTATGAATTCAGCCACCTTAATTCATCTTTTAAGAAAACCAATATAAATTGTATAAAAAAATGAGGGGGGAGGGAGACAAGAAATTATGAGCATGATCTATGATACTCCACTATGATGAGCAATAATGGATGTCAACATACCAATCCTATACCACGGTAGAGTGAACTGTTGTGCAGGAAAAACCATGTTCCTTCCTCAAAATAAGGTTCATAAATACACAAAGGCTGACCGGTCCGCTCAAGCTCCTTCTCATCAGTTTCATGTAATTCGTTTTTTGCTCTGTCAGCTCTTTTAGCACTTCGATATACTTCCTCCCAAGTTGCATGAGGCTGATCAGCCCTGTTCTTCAACTGAATAAATTTCAACAGATTACAGTATATCTTTGGAAAAATAACGAAACGGACTAAAAAATTGACAAGAATTAATATGGACGAAAATAACTTTTTTCTCACCCCACCTCTTCTTCTTCTAACCTTTTTCTAACATTAACTGCCTCAATCATCTTTTCTTCTTTCCAATTTATGAAGGAAAATGATTCATCCAACCTTGAATTGGTATTAGCATCAGCTTCTGTATGAGTTTGATTCCATTCTAGTTTATCCAAAAATTCATACTTTCTCCTTTTCTCATTTAGATTGTCCAAAGCACTTAAATTCTGAAACAGATGCCATTGCCACTCCTCTTTCATTTTTGAAGGTATCTCCGTAATTGCTTTTGGAAGAGAAATGTCGGATGGAAACAAGAGAACGTTTTCCAGTAACCAAGAATAGCCTTGAATAGTTTCAGAGACCATTAAATTTCTTGCTTGCCTTTGGCCTACTAATGCAATTTGCTTTGCCAAATAAGATAATTCCCCATTTGAAATTGCTCTACGAAGAAGCTGCATCAGCTTGCCAACGTTGCCTTTTGGGTAAAGAAACCCATTTACCCCATCCACAATCTAATTATCAAATTGATAGACATAGTTAGATAACTACATGACAAGTTAAGGAGTTGTAGTAGAACTTCCAGCAGAGAAATAGGTTTCAGTAACATACATATTTATTAATCATGTCGAGATCCGGAGCAACAACTAACTTTCCAAGACTCATAGCCTGCAACAAAACTGGCGGAAAAGATTGTTCCTCAAGAAAAGATGCATATATTACGACATCAGCTATACCAAGGAAACTGTAATCGTCAGCACCACCACCAATCTCGTGAACAACACCCTTTGGATAATCAAAATTTAAAGCAGTAATCTGCAAAATACGTAAGATATAATTTAAGAAGCAGGCAAAATTTAAAAACAGCTGACAATGCTTAAAATAAAATTTTAATGATTAGAATCAGGAATTCAACCGGAACACTACCTCAAGAGACATATTGTATGTGTTACTTGAGTTTCCATTTAATATTCCAACTTTCAGTATATGATAAGAATAGTTTTTAGAACGAAATTCATTCTGTAGCGGTGTCAGACCTTGCAATACAAGTGCTTGCTCCAACCACATACCACTGTATTCAAATTTACTTCCAACTAAAGCAATGATAAAATCCTCTGAACTATAATTGGTATCAATTCTTAAATTGCTGTCGTTGTGTGCAGCAATAAAAGTATCTGCCATCCATGCCTCAGAAACTGAACTTGGAATAACAAAGTAGTTGCCCACGTCAAATGCTGAAAACATAAGCTGGAAGATCAAAAGAAAATTATAGACCATTATTATAAAAGCATTATCTAGGATCAATATAACAACTAGACCTTTTTAAACAGGAAAATTAAAGAATAATTACTGGTAAAAAATAGTTTGTAAAAACTACGACATTAGTCCTGCTAAAAACTTGCTTCCATTGACTAAAAACCCCGGAGTGGCTGTTTTTGGCATAGGAACTCAAACGGATAGCCAGGGAAGGCTCTTGTATAGTCCATATGACAGGTACAGACTTAAAAGGCTCCTGCAAAAAACTGTGAAACCGTATAAATGCTCTCTTTCCACACAAAAAAGGTGCTGTGCTTGATTATTCACAGAAAAAGTAAAAGAATAACAGGCACAACAGACCAAGTGAAACAAACCAAAACAAAGATCTAAAGCTGTAAAAATGTTCTCCTTCCACATAAAGATAAATAATTTCTGCTAGCAATTGCTCTGTCTAATATGCCAAAATGAATCCGCACGCAGTGCAAAACGTAGCATAAAAAAAAAAAATACCATGCCAATAAACTATTGGTATAAAGATGAATTACATAACTGACTTTATCATCATTAACTTTTTTCCCAACTTAATCGGTTCAGCTAAATAAAATAAATAAAATTAACCGATGCCCAGTAATCACAGGTCCTTATTGTGCCTCGATTTGGGTTCCCTCCAATAGAAACTGCAGCAAATGATCCTGGTGTTTGTTCAGATGTATTTCATATTAGTTACAACTGAACAAAAACAAGTGTTTGCATCATGCTTTCAGCAATTTTGGCAACATAACAAGATTCAGCAAATGCAACGAAATCTACTGCAGACATATCTGATCTGAAACCCACAATACACAGTTAATAGGATTCACCTAAAACGATAATTATCATTTATGTATAAAGTTTATATTTCACTGCATGGAAAACTGTATTAGGCCTGTTGGCCTCGCTTTCGGTCGAGGTGTAGTTTTCCCCTCCTTAGTAGCCTAGGATCTAGCCGCAGGACCTTTCTGTCGACTACTTCTAGAAAACTAGTGAAGGAGCCCTCCCCGTTAGCAATTCTAGACTTTTCTTCGCTCGACTTGACGTTCCATGTAAGTATTCTTGACCGCTATTGCTTAGCATGTAAGGCTACTCCAAAAGAACTCAGGAAGCATTCGTATAGGACTGTCGGCCTTAGGATTGACTCTACTCGTTGATTTGGCGCCGCTGCGCTCTTTGTCGTCCTGTTTAATCGAATTCAAGCCGAAGTTTTGATAGGATTTGGACCGCAACGTGTTTTTAACCAGATCGACGACGAGGTTGCTCGGACGATTCCGGATGACGAAATGGACTACGCCGACGCGTCTGGAACGTCGATTTTGCTTAGGAGAGACGTTTGTTTCGTCGCGAGGGTATTTCTGGAGAGGGAGATGTGTTTATGTTTAATTTATAATAATAAATAATATTTTATTATTATTTATTATAAATAAAACTTGTAAACCTAATCCCTAATTTCATTTCCCCTCTCGCTCGTGCGTCTGTCCCTCTCGCGTCTCTGCTCTATCCGCTGTGCCCACAGTCGCCCATCCCGCCTCACCTTTCGTTGGCTCCTCGAGCCGCAAACAGTATGGTCGAGCCCCCTATGCTCGATCTCTGCGGGAATTTTTCAATCATTGGCTTCTTCTTCCCTTAGCGTATATCAGAGCTCCTCTGTGAAGCTTCAAGGGGCCGAAAATCATTTTCAGGGGAGGATCTTTCTCTATCACTCTCCTCTCTTGTTGCCTTGTTGTTGGAGAAAGGTGTTGGCGAGGGAATACTTTTCTGCAATTCCTTTTGTGATTCTACTTTAAGGAGGTACTTCCCTCTCCCCCTGTGCGTTACCTGTTTTCAGTCCTGCATTGTGCCTTGCCTGTACTCGACTCTGCTCTCTGTCGAGCCCCGTTAGCATGCTAGAATAGGAAGATTACTATTTGTCTCATTCCTAAACATTTTCTAACTTATTTTTTTTATACATTTGTTATGTGGGAATGGCATTTAAAAGCTTGAGGGTGTGTATTTCCTTCTCCCTTCCTTTCTCTGTGCTTTACTGGCTCTCGGTTACGACCTTGTAAACATGTTCTAACTTATTCTTTATACATTTGTTATGTGGGAATGGCATTTAAAAGCTTGAGGGTGTGTATTTCCTTCTCCCTCCCTTTCTCGGTGCTTTACTGGCTCTCGGTTATGGCCTTGTCGAGCCTCTGATGATGATCTTGTGGTGTGGTGCTAGAAGTTATATTTGGTTAAGCAATGTGGCATACTATTAGTCCTTTCTTTTACTTTGCTTATCTAAAGTGCTGAAGTTATGACATGTTTCCTATCTCCCAAGGCATACTTATATTGGAAGTAATTAAGAGGATAGTTTGAAATAATTTGGCCCTTCTCATAAGCATGTTAGTATATTTATTATGAAGCTTTCATCCACTTTCACTCAAACCATGTGGTAGTTCTATTTTGAGACGTCTTAAAGGCATGAAAATATTGCTCTAACTTTTATTATGGCTTAGTATTGGAGGTCTCAATTGCAGCTTGGTTTTCGACCCTTGCTGGGTTCGGGTTTTGGCCTTGCTTGGCTCGGTTTGGTCTTTAACTAGTCTGGAATTTGGTGAAAAACATGGTTTGGCTTTGGTTTTGTGTTGAATCTCGGTTCTTGCCTATTGGGGGTTCTTCCTTTTTCTTGCTTTGGTGACTCGATTTCTTATTTTGGGAAGATTTGGGTGTTGGTTTTATTGAAGCTTGGCTTTTGCTTTGGTTAAAAGTATTATCTTAACACATTTAAGCTCCTCATTGGAACTTTAAGGAACTGGTTTTGGCTTTATGGCGAGTTCTGATTGTGCTTTATGAGGACCTGGCTTTAGCTTCTCTTGTTTAGGCTTAAACTGCTTGGATGATCGTGGGGAGAGTAAGTGTGTCATTTCAAAGAGATTGAGGGTATTTTACACTCTCTTGTGTATGTCAAAGTTCTTGTGGAATGAATTTGAGTTGCTTTAGTCATGGACTTTGTCTTGTGCCTTGGACTTAGCCTAGGTCGTGAGCCTTCCCTTTCCCTTTGCCTCGTGTCTTGGCTTGGGTCTTGGCTGTGAGCCTTGCTTACAATGCTTTGGAGTTGGTTTGGACTGCCCTGTTTGTCGTGGCCATGAGTCCTTCCCTTCTTTAAGTCCTAACCGTGGGTCTCTCTCTTTTATATTGGCCTTGTTTTGCTTTGGTCGTGAGTCACCTTTAGGAGTTTATTCGGGTCTGGAGCTAGATGGTGCTGATATTGGCTTTTACCCGTGAATTTTCTTGGCTTTACCTCACTTTAACCTCAGTGCACCGATACAGGCTGTGGGTCTTACACCTCAGTGCATTGGAAAAATTTTGTGTTTGTTTGATTGTGAGGCTATGGATTAATTTGGGAGTTGGGAGATTTTGATATCAACTTGGGGTTTGGAGGATTTGCAAGTCTTATTTGGGAGAGCATTTGGTTGATTTGATTAATCTTATGTCTTTGAGGTTTGAAAAATCAGCGCAAAGTAGCTTTTTATGTTTGTTAGGAATGACCCTGGGTCATACTCTTCCAGATCTTTTCGATAGGAATTTTGAGAACTGATCTACTCTCATTTTCGGTGTTTTAGATGGATCGGTGCATTCTCTCTCTCACCTCATTTTTGTTTTTTTTCTTTTCTTGCTTCTTGGTTCGGTTTTTTATGCTTATGTCTGACGCATAAGTGTCCACGTATAGCTTTTTCTTATACGTGAAATCATCAAGCAAGTTCACAAGTAGTTTGTTTTGGGGCGTAGGGTGGTGATGATAAAGGCACACTGAAGATAGAGCATAAAGATGTTTTATCCTATAACATCAAGATCTAGGTATTTTATGAACAATAGGATAACGGTATCGTTCACCGACAAAAGTCTAGCGGGAGTTGGCTCGAACCTCCTCAGGTGGTTGACAGTCCCACGTCTGACAGCGTAATCGACTTGTGAACAATAAAAATTATTAAAACTTATTTCAAAAAAATAAAAATATATTTTTCGCTATAAAATAAAATTTAATGCTCTTTTTTTTTAGACCTATGTGCATGTCAAAAACATAAATTTTAAAATACATTTTAAAATTGATTGTTCACCTGACGAATACTTGTTTAGGCTGGGAAATAGCCCTCTAGGTGAGGTTCAAGACACACTTCTAGACAAGTGGTGGGTTTCGAGTATCTATATATATCTGAGCCTAGCCCCACATGCGTGCTTGCGGTCCCCCTTACTCGAACTTTTTTTGTTTTATCGAAGCTTTGGGACAGAGCACTCGTGTTTCTTTTCTTTTCTTTTGGGAATTCTCCAAGATTTTTGAAGATTTTTACTTGAGTCTTTTCTCATTGATTTTCTCGAGTTTTCTGTCATGAGTCATTGTTACACTCTTCTTCGGATTTCCTGGATGACGTTTCTTCCAGACTTCGCTTTTTGCGATGCATTTCAGCTTGTTATATTTAAGAAACAGCGGATCTCACGGGTGTACAGGTTTGTTTTACATTTACAGCACTTTATTTCCTTGTTTATACCTGCTACTGTCCTGTACGGCATGTTATACTATTCATGTTTCTACCTGCTACTAATCTTCCTGTACAGCATGTTATACTATTCATGTTTTTATCTGCTACTGTAATGCACAGCATGTTATACTATTCTTGTTTCTACCTGCTACCATTCTACATGCATCCTACTGTTTGTCTTGTACTGCACATTTTATATCATATAGTCTTAAGCATGTCTTCCTTTTATATAGGATGTTTAGAAGACTATTATCATAGGGTCGTTTGAAATCATAATTGGACACCCTAGAAAACTTAAACTCGTCACGAGAAGGAGTTTGGAACTAGCGCGGTGGGCAGCACGATAATCTTCAACAGCAAAACATGTCTTCCCCAGCTAAATCATTCATTCCCTAGAAATTAAAACAACAATCCATAGGATTTTGAGGTTGTTCGCCTAGCGCAACATAAATCCTCAACCTTTTCGTTAGGCATTTGTATAGCTCTGCTATATGATCTAAGCTCTAACTCGTTTTAGGATTTTGAGGTTGTCGTTCGTTACGACCTAAATCATCACACCTTCCAGGCTATTTGTGTGATCGTTCCACACGAATGTAAGCCCTAATTAAATAAAATTGGCAGGATGAAACATTTGAATTTTTTTACCTCAAAATTGAAGCCAAACCATAGGATAAACTAGGAAGTCACTGAGGATCTCCTCTGGATCTGTGGCATCCCCTAGTTCTTCTACCATTGGACTCTGTAATAAATATTCTAAATTTGAGTCATTCCCATTTCACACATCTTTGTCCGATTTCGTTGAAAAGTCCTATCATTTTGAAGTCCTTGAAGCTAATTTTTCCTGATTTTTATCGAGAGTATTCTTAAGTGATTTCAGTCATCTAAGATGTAATTAAATATAGAGGTTTGCCCTTATAAGAAGTTTTTCCGAACCCAGCTTAAAATAAACCCTATTTAATTTTTCATATTAAATAGGGGAATTTGTCGGCAAATAAAACGGTTTCGCAGACCAAACGGACGTCATATATATCGTAGTTTATTTGATCGAGTCTCATCCTCAAGTCTTGTGTTCATTCCTCGGGATAGATACAGGGTTTGAGGTAAAGCGCTCTTTCATTTAAATTATGAAAAATATGGGGTCAGTTTGATTTTCATATTTGATTTTAAAACTTAAATCTATATGTAAATTGAAACGTTCTTCCGAAGCGGGTGACGGGATTTCGAATCCGGTGACCGACAGCTTCTACGGACAACTCCTCCCCCAAACCCCCACACTTGTTATCGCCGACAAGGCCATACCAAAATTTCTTCAGTGGATGCGGATGATTTTCCTTCCCGACAACTTCTAAACATATAGCAGTAATTGCATGTGAATCCCCTCAATTAAATCATGTTGCGAGGTTATCTTTACATCCGGTTGTTCTACCTGTAGATCAATCACAAATAATAAAGTATGAATATAGCTAAGTTTTGCAAGTACGTAAACGTCCTTTTAGTTAACCTTTTTTCTACTAATAGCCATTTACAAGTTATGGCCCGTTTATCTAATATTGTTTTCATCCTAAGTTCCCTCTTTACGCTTGAAGGTCCATTTGCAACAGTCAATCTTTTTTCCTTCATGGAGTTTAGCAAAGTCTAAAGTACCAAATTTTTTTCAGAAAACTCCAGCTCATATATCATAAGCTATGGTCCAGTAATTCAATTCTCTTTCTAGTGACAACTTTCTCAAAAATGGATCGCCAAAGGGGGTGCCTAGTCACTAGCCTTCCTACAGCAAACTGAGCATTTAGAATTCCGGTGCCCAAATTGGCGACTTCAACCCGAGCGAGCGGAAATACAGCCCTCGGAAGAGACGCTATGGCGTCAGGCACTGTTTGTACGTAGTTAAGAATTTAAACCCTCGTTTCATGACGGATCATACTCTTGTGCGGTGTATTCTCGACGGTTTGTAATATGAGCAAATTTGTGAGGAGTGTGGCGAAGGTGGATTTCAACGAGTGCTTTATCTTGCAAGATCAGGAGAGAAAGAAACGTGAATTGCTATAAGTTTCAATGGTGTAGAGAGTGAATCTGAGTGGTAAAACCTTTCATGGTGAAATGTTTTGGTGTGGTGTGGCTCCGTGGTTTTTTTCCGTTCTTAGATTTGTCCACATTAAATCATTGTATTTTTTTTGGATTTTTTTTGTGTGCACTTTTGTTTAATTTATTGTCTCAGATCTCTTGAATTGGCGTGTTTTTCCACAGTATGGTTTTGATTGTAAATTGATCAAATCTAAAGTATCCATCCCAACACCTTATAGCTATCAAGAAGCGCTCTCAAAATACGAAAGATGAGAATGAGAAAAGGCAAATAAGTTTTTTTAAATATGAAAAAAATAATCTACAACAAAAAGGTGTGAATTTATTACTAGAAAAGTTCATGAAAAACAAGGTTCATCCGTTAGCCTGCATCAAAAAAACTAAGTGAAAAAGGTGTGAATTTATTACTAGAAAAGTTCATGACAAACAAGGTTCATCCGTTAGCCTGCATCAAAAAACCATTTAAAATATTGGAGCTATTGCTCTAAAAGCAATATAAAACATCAGAGCTATCACACCATAGAAAGAAGCAATCATCACTTTGCAACTAGCTAGTAAAGAGGAGCGCTACAAATTCAGGTTCAAAAACAACTATTTTCATGGTAAAATACCAAAAATCAATAATGAAAGTGCATATTCCATCCTCATGAACAAGAAACCCCAAATTAATGCTTCAAATCATAAAATGGAACATGATTAAAGTCGCATTTACCATGAAATAACAAGCCCTGCCTGGACGGAACTCACAAGAACGCCGCTGTAGCTGCAAAAAGCAATTTTAATCACGATTTAAAAATAAATTCTAAAACTTTTTTATAGTTAAACTAAAGAAACGTAAGAGATAATTTATCCCATGTGAAACGAAAAATATGTTACTCCATATAGTAAAGCAAATCAGCTGATTTCCTTACTCTAACCAATTTATAGTAAATCCTTGTTTCATGCCTAATGGCAAGATGTTAACTTGGATCCCGATGGCTCTCCACACAGTATGTACAGTGCCATCTTGGAATGAAAAAACCTGAGCAAAGCACAGAAAGGCAAACTGGAATGTTATGATCAAGTACAATCCTTCATTCATTTCTATGAGAATACGTAAAAGAAACTACCACATCAATCATCTTCATAAACCATTTATCCAAAGAAACGCTCAATCTATCTCAAAAGGATTTATTGCTGCATCACAAAGCAAGCTTAATTTAGCGAGTGTCCTCCCGCATAATATGTGTTACATCATGCAACACACAAAGCTCTTACTATTAAGAAATTTTTTCCTAATCCATAGAAAAAAAGTTAAGACTAAAGTCCTGGCATAAAAATCCCAGAAGATTCAAAAACAACTAGTAACTACAGAAATGTTAGTATTTTCTTTTCTAGATAGTAAAATCTTATATTTCCTTCAGCGAAGATCGGTCAACCATAATTTGGACCCCAATGACAGACAAGTAGGGGTGGTTAGGGCATAGATTCTATTAGGAACTGTTTCACAAAATAAGTGCAAACAATAGAAAAGAAAATGAAATAACTTTTTGGGTGTCTGCCTTGATATGAAATTGTTGCAGTCACTTTACATCAAACCTCCTAAGCTCTTTCTTTGATGAATTAAAGACAATTAATGGCAATCAAATTGATTGCATTTACATAGAAGGATTTTGTTTAGCTTTACAACCACCTTAAAGCACCTGCAAACATCCTAACTATGTTAGCAAGATCACACCGTCTCCTATGTTACCTGCAGTACAGTTTCCATAGCAATACACCTGAGCTTTACTTCTTCTTAAGTGTAGATTTGCAACTAAATTTTGTCGGACAGAAAAACAAACTGTTGCAAGATATAGTAATAACAAATTCCCTCTACCATGAAAAATAGACTTCTAAGAAACGGTTTCTACATTAACTCTTCTGGAAAGGAGTTGTATCAGCCCCAGAACATATATTTAAAGATTCTTAAGAAAAAGCAAATTGTTTGTCCTTCAATGATTCACAGGTGGCCAATTTAGAATCAAAGTATCATACTGCTTCAATTTAATCCCTCATCTCTACAAAATTGATCCAAATTAGTCTCTCAAGAACTAAATTGGAAACGATTTTGTATAGTCCAAAGACTAAATTGGGATCAATTTTGTCTCACAATATCTATTGTATTGTCGATAGACTAAATTGGAGATATGTAAAAATTTAGGCTAACTTGGACACAAACAAATGGTTGGATAACTTTTTGGAATTTAATCTCAATGGTTGAAAAAATGCTAACAAAACTACTAACCATTTGCTAAGAAAAAAGACTGAAATATCCTTAATAAAATAATCAAATCACTATAAGGTCTAAAAGATATAAAATAACTAAAAAAAACAATAACAACATATTAATAATTTATGTCAACATTAATTGCCTCATTCACAAAGCTTTACTCTAGAAAGTGATGGCGACCATATACTCAAAGTAAACTATACGCCCCATCAACTATGAATCATCAAATGATAAATGGCGCTTCCATTGCAATAGAGAATAATGTGACCTTCAAGAAGTGCCAAATATCTCATTTTTAACTAGAAAATTGATGTCTTTATGAATGATATTTAAATCCTTTGAGCATAAGAAAATAAAAAATAAAAATACAGCAAAAAAAAGGGATTGATGCCATTCAAAATATGATGGAAGCTTGTTTGATATCTATATTCTCATTTTTTATCCTCTCCTTTTTATGTTCTCGAATTCTTTTTATATATTAGAACATCTTACTTTAATGAAAACAGGGCATTGTTCAAGAGAACAATAAGTATAACCATTCAAGAGCACAGTAATGTGCATGTTGACCTCATTTTTGTGAGGTTTTCCTTCTTCCTAGAGCCTGAGATCTAGCTCTAGGAGTTTCATTTTGACTATCTTAGAAAACCAGCATTGAAACATGTCCCCTTAGAAATTCCAAAACACTTCCTACTGGTCAAAATGTTTTGGCAACCGTCGAAATTGATCTAACTAATGCTCATTTGAAAAACGGACATTATATTGTATTCAAAACATTGAAATTACCCAATGTGGAGTCTTTCATGATTGAAAGGAGCAAGCATAGCATGAACGACATGCTAACAGTGAGACCTGCATAATTCAGGTTCAAATTATCTTAACTGTCACCGAAGCAGCTCAAATGATCTTTGATTGTAAAATGGATCACACAAGTACATCCGTAACACCAATTTTAGTAGGAAATGACACTCATATTGCCAAATTTCGGGAAATGACACATATTGTCATATTTCCGACACGATAAAATTTGCACGCAAATTGATGAATTCATCAAAATGACCTCCGACAGCGAAATGGACCGCGCCAGCGCGCGGAAAATTTGCACGCAAATTGATGAATTCATCAAAACGACCTCCGACAGCGAAATGGACCGCGCCAGCGCGTCCGGAACGTCAGAATTACCCAAAAATTATACTAATTTTGTTATATTTCGACGCATGAATGAAAGACACATCAATTTTTTTTTCAAATTTTTTGATATTTTTATAGTTATATCATTAATTATAATCTAATTAAAACCTAAACCCTATTTAGGTTTTCAACGCTTAACCCCTCATTCGAGCCATCTCAGGGCTCGATCCCGCGGCTCGTCTCCCTCCCGTCCGTGTGCCCTAGTTCCACTGTGAATCCATGCGGCTTTCCTTTGTCGTTCTTGCTCGCGACTCATCTCCTCGAGCTTCCCCTTGACTTTTTGGCTCTCCAATCGCAAGGAGGCGAGCTGGCCGACGTTCCTTCTACTCGAGGCTATACACTCTTCCCCTTTATTGTGACGCTTATTTTCTCTCTTCTTGATTGGTTGGTCAGTGTGGCTGTTAGGTGGAGGTCTATTTTCTCTTCTCTGCCTATGAAAAGGCGTCTGAGATTCTTTGTGTTGGGTTGTTGAAAACATTTGGAGAGAAAGGAGAGGTTGTGTTTTGTTGTGAGAGACTTTTAGGGAAGACAACTATTCTAAAATCTTCTCTAGATTTGTTTTCTCGTGCGCTTGGAGTGTGAAGTGTTCATGGAGAGCTGTTAACTTTGCCGAAAATCCTCTCTAAGCTATACTTTCTGGTGTCTGTGGTGTGGAGCATTCGAGGTTGTCGTTTCTTGAAGTTTTTAAGAGAAATATTTCTCTTGGAGTGGTTTTCCTGAAATTATTTTCAATTTTATTTTAAATCTGTTTGAAAAATGTATTCTCCTTCTCTCTATTCTATTTTATCTAGGACGGCATGTTGAGGCATCTCTATCCTCTTGCGAAAGTTAATGGAGGAATGGCTTAGTTTATTTTGAAGTCTAGGTATTGATACATGCTGGAAATTAATTTTTTTATAAGTTGGAAGATCATGTTTGGGGCTCATTTCTTGCTCTTCTTGCTGCCCCTTGTTAGAATACATGCTGGAAATTATTTTTTTATAAGTTGGAAGATCATGTTTGGGGCTCATTTCTTGCTCTTTTTGCTGCCCCTTGTTAGAATACATGCTGGAAATTATTTTTATGAGTTGGAAATTTATGTTTGGGGCTTGTTTCTTGCTTCTCTTGCTGCCCCTTATTAGAAAAAATGTTGGAAATGAAATGTTGAAGTCTTTTATTATTGTTATTTTCGAATCAAGGAAGTGTTGGCATTCATTTTTTTTAATGAGGAAATATGTTGGCCTTAGGGATGTATCCACACTTATATGTTTCCTTTTACTTGTTACTATTTGGAATATATTCTGAATGCAATATTTTGAAATATGAGATTTTAATAGAGTCGACTTTGATAGCTCTGTTTTGGCCCATTTGTTGGGTTCGGGTTTGGCTCTTTTGGGATTAGATTTTTGCTGGAAACCGCTCCTTATTTTGGCCCATCTGGTGATTTCGATTTGGCTCTTTTAGGATTGGATTTTTGCTCAAAAATATTCTCTGATTTCCTATTCTTGTTAGGTTCGATTTTTTATCTTTTGGAATGCATAAATGCTGAAAATTGTTGAGACCCATCTGCTGAGATTCGGCTTTGCCCTTGTGCTGGGCTCGGTTTTGCCTCTATTGGGTTCAGTTTCCCCGTGTTGGGTGGGTTTTGCCCCTGTGCTGGGTTGGTTTTGCCCCCTGTTCTTGGCTCGGTTTTGCCCTTTCTGCTGAGTTTGGTTTGCCCTTGTGCTGGGCTCTGTTTGCCCCTTCTTTGGGCTCAGTTTTGGTTCTTCTGAAATGCATAAATGCTGGAAATATTTTCTTTGTTTGTTCTCCCATTTGGTTGAGCTCGTTTTGTTCCTATGTTGGGCTTGGTTTGCCCCTAGACTGGGCTCGGTTTGGGCTCCTTTTTGGTGATTTATGTTGGCTGAAATCTCTTACTGTTTTAGACCATTTCTTGAGCTTGGTTTGCCCCTGTGTTGGGCTCGGCTTGCCCCTTTTTTAATTCTTAGGCCCGGTTTGAGCTCCTTTTTGGTAATTTATGTTTGGCTGAAATCTCTTACTGATTGGTCCATTCCTTGAGCTCGGATGGACCCCTTTGTTGTGCATGATCTGGTTGGGGCCTCCTCTTGAATGCCCCCCTCCTCTTGAGATTTTTATTCGTAATCAAGTTTGTCATCCAAAAAATGCATGAATTTTAATATCTAACTCTATGTGAGAGTATTTGATATGAGTGTTCTCATGTTTTATATGATAAAAGTGGGTTCGATCTCAATGATGTATAATAGCTTGTCCATTCACTCTCTTATGTATGTCAAATATAATACAATGGTAGTAGTACTTATGGTGGTTCCTTTATGTTGTCTTTGGGGCCTTCTTCTTTAACCCTACCCGTGGGTTTGTGTTGTGTTGGGTTCCTCCTTGCCATCTGTGGCCGTGAGCTTCTTATTGGGGGTTTGGCTGTGTTTGTTCTTGCTCCTACCCCTGA